TGACAGAAACCAAATGTTTGGCTTTTGAGATAACTTCCAGTTTTTGACCCTTTGCAATATGGTTGTTACTAATTAAATGCAAGGAAAACATCCAACACAAGTAGAATGGCTGGAAAATACATGTATGGCAAGTTGTTTGCAACAGCCGTCCCAATTTTGTAATAAACGAGAAGACTCTGCTAGCTTTTAATGAGTTCTCACACTCTCCACCACTTTTTTTTTTCCCCTCCCCCTCAAAGACTTGCTCCAAAGTGCTGCACCCTTCAGCTATCACTGTGCAAGCCTACAAATGAGCTACAAGAATTTTTGTGTGTGCAGTTGTGGTCTGTCATTATAACCACCTCTGGCTGGATGGAGAGGTGCTACATCGGGAGCAGCCATCCATCACACACTCCCGACCCTTCAGCAATCATGCTGCATCTCGGAGGCCAACTGCCCCGTTAGCAGCAGAGCAGGGAGCAGCAGCCGGCCTCAAGATTAAATGTGCTACTTCAGGTTTCCATTCCCAGGAGCTGCACGGGCTGATGTTGTATTGATTGCAAAAGTATACCAGTAAGTACCACAAACAACAATAGCTGGGTCAATGATTGGTGAGGCCTGGAGACAAAACGGATCCCTATGGACCTGGCTCAGACCTGCACTTGTGCCGCCTGAATGTGGCTTGCACGAGGCCCACGGCCGAGGGAAGAGTGGGAGCCTGCAGCCTGAAGTGACATTTAACCAAGCTACATGTGGGAACAGAACGAGAGCCAACGATGCAATTATGTATCGCCTGGCCTCCCTCTGCAGCAAAACCCTGTCATCTCTCAGTGTTTATGTTCAGCCGGCCACACATTTGCTACGCTAAGTAGCTGCAGGTACTAAGGGATGGAAGAATGCACAAACACAAGTGCTGGTTAGCATAAACTACAGGGTCAGAGAGCAGAGCAAAAAAGATTTCCAAGCATCTCTTCTCCTACCAACTGCGTGGGTTTTGCACTGGGACCTGAAGTAAAATTTATTAATAAATTGTGGGGTTGTTCTAAAGAAATTAAACCACACAGACTTTCCAAAAAGTCTGTAATGTAAAACATTTCCTCTGATGCTGGGAAATTCAGTAGTTGCAATTAAAGGGGAAAAAAAAAACACTGTATTTAAACCATAATATGGCTTATTTTATCAAGATTAAAACCCAGATTCATTGGCCATCCTCAGGTGTGATACCATTCAGCCATAGTGAAAATATGTTTTTAAAGTTTTAATGTGTATTACTTCTAATTCCAACCCAATAACTCATACTTAAAGCTGGATTTATACTGACACTATTTGATAAAAGCATTACTGTATTAATGAGACATTTTGGAATGGTTTTTAGTTATAATGAAGTTGTCAGAAACTTGCAGAAAGTATATATTTTCCAGGCTCTCCAATTTAACAAGAAATATCCTTTATAAAATATGAAATGTGGAAATTAACAATCCATTTATAGCCTAGCACTTTACATCTTTAACCTGCCTGAACCATTCCTCACAATAGCCTTCCCTAAAAGTTTATCACCTAAATAGTAGCAAAACAGCAATCTTCACTACCAGGTAAAAACATTCTTCATCACAAAACTTTTTTTTTTTTCCCCTCTCTAGGCTGTATCATAGGTAGACATTCCCCTTCCCATTTCAGATAGGATATTTGGACACTTTTCTTCTCAGAAAGAGAAGTGAGGAATTATAACAGGCTGCCCAGGGCAGCAGTGGAACCACTGTCCCTGAAGGTGTAACAAGAACCATGCAGATGTGGCACTTGGTTCATGGGCATGGTGGTGATGGGTTGACAGTTGGACTAAATGATCTTAGTGGTGCTTTCCAACCTTTGTGATTCTGTAATTAGCATTACATTCAGAAGCCTTCCTGCCACATAGGACAGTTAAAAATGCCTTCTGCAGAAAACTATTACAACACTTATATTTTGCAGATAGAAAAACCCATGCAGATTTTTTACATCAGCTCAAATTTTACTATGCTCACAAATTTCTGATGAGCAAATGAATTGATCTAACGTGGGTTGTAAATGATTAGCAATTAGTACTACATAGATCTCGCCTACTGACCTAGTAAGCGCACATTTCTTCCTCTGAACGCCAATATGAACGTTTTTGAATCTCTTCATATGGCAGAAGATGAGTCCAAATGGAAAGTAAAAAGCATTTCCCCATGTCTTCCATGAAAATACTTATCCAGTACTGAAATGCAGATAATTACATAGGCACCTGTTTCAACACTGCAGTGACATCACAAAATCCTACAAAAATCCCCGAATTTATCTATAACTTTAATAGTTCTACACCTGGGTCTTCACCATCCTGCTTAAAATTTAATTTGCCCAGTGTTTGGCCCGTGGTTTAAGAATTAAAAATAAATGGCAATAGTGCCTTATTGTTGCATTTAGTATATTTTAACAACGGTTTCCATTTCATCATTTAATTAATAGAAATTCTAAGACTGTGCCACAGAAATTGAACTATGGGATATTTTTCCTATTTCATAAAAATGATGACAAAATAATTGTTCTCTGTGTAACTACCGAAATAAATAAATAAAGCCTCAGCAATCTAACAAGCTTGTTACACAAACAGAAGAAGGGAATGTGTTCAAAATATTTTAGTACCATGGAAACAATTGTCACTTGCTAGATCACAGCTTGTCTTACTGCATATTACCCTTGATGATTCTTTCATTGTTCATCAGAGAAACAGTGTCACTGCAAATCTGATTACTGAAAGGGTCAGTGTATTAAATACCTTTTTTTTAATTATCTGCTGCAACTGTAGGCCTCAAACATCACTTTCAAGTTCTGTATCAGAGAGCAGATATTTTCACTATTACAGTTCAATATTGTATAAAAATAATTGAATGAGAGAAAGAATGTATGGTAATTTGTTTTCTTTTATGAGTATTCTGGGTATTGTTTTAAAAGATGTGAGCAAAATACAGAAAAAAATGCATAAGGTCTTGCTGAAATATTTTTTAGAAGTCAACTTTAGAAGATAAAGGTATGTGCTGGAAGAGAAGACATGCAGAAACGTCCACAATAGTCCAGTATATTCTGAGATAACGCAAGGATTTGGTTACAAGCGTGGCAACTAATAATATTACTTGACATTTGAGACTAGATGCAGTCTTACTGATCTGATTAAACACTATTTTTATCTACCCTTTTATCTACCATACTTCAGTACAAATAGAACAGAATACAAATAGAAGTATTTGTACTGAAGTAGTTGTAATGCTTTCAGAAGAAAACAATCATTACACCTAAATGTGAAACAAGAGGAAACAAAGCAAAAATGTTAAAATATCTGCTAGATCTTAGACAACAAAAATGCAAATGCTAAAATACGCAGTCCGTCTCATCTATATCCTCACAATTAACAAGAAATAGTTATGAAGTATCACTCCTTAATTAGAACACTTTCTGAGATTTGTTGGTAACAGCACTTAGTAAGCACTTTGTCACCCACATATTTCTGTTAAGACAGCACCTGTAGTTACTCATAAAGGAAATCTGGCAGCTATGGGGAATTAACAGCCAGGGAAAACCTCACAAATATTTTTTCAAATTCCACTGTGGATTTTAGTTTGCACATGACCCAGTCAGACCTGTGCTGCTGCTGCAGCGGGGCAGGACAATCATTATACTTAGGCCATCGTTCTTAGGTAGCCTTGCCCCACACCTTGCAGAGTTGAAGTGTTTGGAAGCACTTGGCTCTTTGCACACCAGTGCCAAGCAGTCCCATCTCCGCTGCTGACCGGGGAGAATGATGAGTGCCCAAGTGTTTTTTTCTCACCATTCTTTCTATTGATCAGTAACACCCACCAAACTTCTTCCTCTAAGCTGAGTGTTCAGTGCTACCTGACAACAGTAATTAGAACAAATGATAGGAAGGAAAGGAACTGTGCTCCACTGCAGCAGCTAACCAGCACAGGCATGGTGTGCACGTGTCGGCACCAAGGCAGTGATGGGTGGTGCCACTCTACAGACCATATGTGAAAAAACACCAAAGGATGCCTGCATTTTAGCCTCTCAAAATAACACAGTGTTTCTTTGTCATAGTTTATCACACGAAGCTTGCATTAACACTTCCTACTCACAGTGACCTCATCCTGCCAGAACACACCAGCCCTCAGTCCTCACTGTAATGCTTTCTCATTAGCTGCTCAGCTCCAGCCACACTGGTTGCAGCAACCCAGCACTGCCTCGGGCAACACTGGAATTAATTACTAGGAGAAATACCATTGTTACAGATTGTCATCTTGAATTTATCAGTTGCCACTTAGCATAACTCATCTGACCTAATGCCTCCTCCATGTCACCTGGGCTTTGGCACCAGCTCCGGCACTGATAGAGGGCACTGATTGTCCCTCCTGGCCCAGAGCTGCTCCAGGCCTGCCTCAAATCCTACCCGGAGGCACAGCTAGCTAACAATGCCCATGCCCCAGTAAATTGCCAGACTGCCCACACGGCACCCACACCTGAACCCAAGGAAGATGTGGAGCTGGGTCCAACCCACCAGACGATCGTGGCTTAAGATGATAATCTCTCATTGCACTGGACAGAACTACGCTAACCATTTGTTTTGCTCATGTTCCATTATTTTTAAAAATGAAACTGGCTGTTCATGTGTGGATGAATAAATGGCTCCAGGGGACCTTCCAGAGTTAGGCCTGTGGCATCTTCTTATAAATCGTGGAGAAATTGCTCATTAAATTATTCTCAAAACAGAATACACATCAGTGAGATACTACACATATGAACTACCTCTGCTTCCTTCTCCCCCATATATTTTCCATTTATCTTAGGACAAAGGATCTTCCCAGGGTTTCTTTTTTAAATTCTGTAATGAGCGCATTCTTTTGCTTAAGATGAAAAAAAAGTTCATGCAGTATAAAATACAAGTTCTTCACTAATCCTCAAGTCTAAGTTTTATCTGTGAAGAGCTCATAATTGCAATTGACTCATTTGACATTTTTCTGACACAAACAGAATAGCCAGGATGCTCACACACTTGCAATTTCTATTGAAGTGCTTAACTCCTTAAAAGATGCAATTTTACTGTTGTTGAAAACAGGAACGACATTGTGTAATAAGCCAAAAATACCATACAGATAAGAAGATAAATATAACAAACCTGCCTTTTAGTAGCCTTTTAACAATGACAATTCTGAACACGTTTCTTAGACAAAAAGATTTCCTCTTGCAACCATACTGTATACTCAGGACAGTAAACTTAGAGAGATGTATAATGTGATATAAACATTAATAGTTTCAAAATTGTGTTTTAGAAAGACTATTTATAGAGAAAATACAAAATGCCTCCCAAAAGTACACTTAGTCGTAAGCCACCATAATCTTCTTGCTCATGCAGCAGGAAATCTAATACACCAGCTCAATAAACCTGTAGGAAACAAAGGTTTTATGTAGCATTAAGAGTCACAATATTAAAATACCACATATTACATTCAACTACTCTTGCAACACTCATTTTAAGAGCCAAGAAAATTAAGTGCCAGATTGAGAGTAATAATATCATAACATGCAGAAGGAGACTGGAGAAGTACAAAAATATGTGGAGCCCTCATGGTATCTTTGTTGCTTGGGTCAGCTCCAGACACCGGATGGTATTGACGTTTTGGGTCATCAACAGAAAATACTGCCCCAACAGAGCAGTTTTCTCCAGAATATACTGTAAAATGCAAATTCACATCAGCTGGCTCAATGAGATTATTGCAAAATGTATACTTTGCTTTTCACTATTAAGAACTGTAAAGTAATCATTATCATTGACATGCCAGTCAAAATCCAAGTTTGAGTATAAATGAGTGAGAAAATACAGATGCAAGTTTGTGAAAAAAACATTAAAATGAAGAACAGAACTGAATTTGGGATAGAATTACCTAGGCAACTGATAAAAAAATATTTTTAGTTCATTCACTGCATCTTAAAAAATGCATGTTTTATGAAGATTCCTTAAAAAAAATGTTTATTGTCTGTACTACTTGTATCATCTTACCTGGTAACTACCCCCCCAGGTCATCACCAGAGATCAAGCTTTATAGATTTCAGCTCTGGGAGTCTGAACTCTGGGACTAAAGATAAGAATGAAATCTAGAAATACCAAAGCATCCCATTCTCAAAACACAAAACCTTTTCTTCTAGACAGCATTGAAGGTTATAATTATTTTTTTTTAATATCATCCAAAAAAAAATGATAGGGCTTTTGCATTTCTTTTCAAGTTCATAACTGGATAGTTGAGAAGGGTAAGACTATGAAAAGTTGGGCAAAAAGAGAAGGAAGGAGTACTTTCCAGCCAGTCACATTTTCCAGAAGTTTGTTGGATGAACAGAGCTTTGGAATGTTTTGGTGAAACGGATAAACAGATTAAGTGCAAGTTGAGTGATCAAGGTGCATAATGAGTACATATTTAACACATAATTCACACTCATGTATACGCCTATATAGTTTTCTAACCCCAACTTCATCCATGAAACTGGATGAAAAATATTTTTTTTAACCCAGAAGACAACAAATCCCCTTAGAGCATAAAATAAACACTATTTTGTTTTAAATATAGTATATCCAATTATATCACAATTTAAATTGTCAAGTCAACAGAATTTTTGAGATGGCCTTTAACATTGAATACAGGCTACAAAAACATGAAGATGAAAGTAGTTTTTGTTTTTTGTTTTTTTTTTATCATATACTTGAAAGAAAAAAAAAAAGATCGTTATCATAAATTTGTGGGACCCAAGTGTATATTTCATGCTATTATTTCATTTTCAAAAACACATACCTTCAACTGGAGGGAAAACTAGCTGGCATGTAAAAAAATCCTTGCAAAAGGAAAATATACTAAAAAGCAAATTGTGCGTATTTGTTATTGAGAGCCTGAGTTTATGCAAGCAATTGTCATGCAAGTAGAGTTGTAAGTAATAATGTGGCCTTTAATGACGGAATGATGGACCTGCCAAACACTAGCTCCTGCCATACACCGCTTGTATTTCCCTGAGCAAAGATGCCCATCTGGGAGTTATTAACATATCCTCGTCAATTCAGAACCTACTTTAACATAATCCATATTTGTTGGAGAAAGTCCAACATCAGCTAGAGAACAGTGCTCACGTGATCCAATGACACATTTCAAGCAGCACATATAAAGCATGCTTGGGCAGCTAAGCAATTCAGAAATGCAAATAACAAAAGTGTTTCTCTTTCTAGATAAAAAGGACAAATCCCTTTTGGCATAACACCTTACATACTTCTAATACTGAATGAAAACAACAGAGAGGAAAAGGACAGCTATTTTTCTGGAGGTGCATTCTGATTTATTCCAAATGTATTGATGCACCCAGTCTTACGCTGAAGCTGCTGTGTTTCTGAGACCCAGGGAATTCTCCATTTCATGGGTGACATGGGGAGAGAATTTTTTTTAAATCAGCAGCATTATACAATATGTACAATGTTGTACAATACATAGAGGACTGAGCACTATTTCCTCAAAGGGCTCTAAACTTAACATCAGAGGACATTTCCATTAGAAATTAGCTTTGCCCCACAACCACTCTTAGAAGATCAAGTTTCCCCAGAATTATCTTTTTTACTTTTTGTTGTAGATTTGAGTAAGTCACTGTAGGTTGGATATCACATTTTTAAATGCAGACTTCATCAAGAGTCACACTCATATCGGGATAGATACTTTCTTAGTTTCACTTAGAAAAAGAACTGGTTGAAAATAAATTTAATTTGAGTTCATGTAGTATTACCACTATTGCTCCAAGAGCCATCAATCACAGAATCATAGAATATCCTGAGTTGGAAGGGACCCATAAGGATCGAGTCCAACTCCTGGCTCCACACAGTACCACTCAAAAATCAGATCATGTGACTGAATACAACACAGGACAAATTTTGTTAAACCTATAATGAATGTGATCAGTAAACAGGCTACACTAATACAACCTTCAGAAAACTTACATGAATGAGTCACTGAGTAATTCTGTTTGGAGGTCAGCATAAGATGATAATACATTTGTGAAGACAAAACTTGTCTCTCAAGTGAAGCATTACTCATGAATCTTAGTACTTATTTTCAACAGTTATAGCAGTCAAATTAAGAACCATGGAAAGACTCATGCTCAAGGAGAAGGAAAACACATGATGATGTTGTTTGTTGTTGGAGGATTTTTTTTGCCTAGGAAAATTATATTACATAGGAGATAGAATATATGGAAAAAAACTAACTAGGTACTTTTATAAAATGAGTAAGTGCAGTTAACAATTCTCTTGAACTATTTGTATCACAAGCTTGCACATACGTTCCTCTCACACAACTGTTACTTAAAAAGCATTCTCCTATGAAATGAACCAACGTGGCTCATCAGTTCTTACATTCCAGAAGGGAAAAAACACACACACAAAAAACTATTGAGATTCCACCAATCTCTCCTTCTGGCTTTTAGCTAGCATTTGTCTAGGTGTGGAAGGAATGCTGTCTGCATGAGCTCTCCACTGTCTGGAGAACAACCTGCAAATCACCTGCAAATCCACAAATGAGTCTGAAGGAAAAACTGCCCTGCATCCTCCATTCCATCACATAAATGGAGAAATATTTCTCCAAGTACTTAGGCATACAATTGTACCCTAATTTCTTTGATGAATTTGTTGTGTTAGCCTGTAGATGTTGCTTGAAAATCCAGATAATCATCATGATCAAATTAACTAAGAGTCATGGTAAAGTTCTCATGGACTTCATCGCTGGAGAAGAAGCCTCTGCTTTCTCCATCAGGCAATGAAACACAATCACTTATCACGCAGTCAAATTGCCACCATAGCTTATGAAGGTAAAAGCACCTGCTTGTCCTGATTTAGGAGTTAAACTTCTGTAGATAAAAAAAAAGAGAAAATCATACAAACATATCAAACAAATAATCGGGAAGGCAGGTTCTCTTGTCATGTTTTATTGTATTAACCTCAGCACAAGCATCAACCTCAGATACCCGCTGAATTCAGCACAAGTGCAATGAAAAAGACCATGAGAATCCCATACTATTTTTGAACAGAAAGTCATGAGAAAGCACAAATTTTTATGTGCTTCTATTTTTTCTTTTTTTAATTTGGAATCAGAACAGGAAATAAGCCACTCTATCCTGTGACTAAAGACGTGTGACAATTAAAGCATTCATTTCATTTGTGCGGATTAGTCATTACAGGAAAATGAAAGGCTATAGTAGAACAGGACCAATGATTTGAAACAATATAGAACATATTTTTTTGAACTTTCAAGTACAATATAAATCCAAATGATTTTAAATATGGTACTGAATCCTGGGTCAGAAATGTGAGCTTGCCCAATACAATAAAACCAATAGTTGCAGAGTCTCAAACTTGAAGCATGTGCTGAATCTTCTGAGCAGGAAAAATAGCAAAAACAACACACCTAAAAATTACTTTGAACATGTTCAATTCTGAACTGAGAGCTTTCTGAAATTTGGACTTAAATTTCCCAGGCTATTCTGGTACTTCAGGATCCTCACTAACTACGTTATCAGCAAAAAATCCCTGAAACTTCAAAGCAGATGAAGTACTGAGAGAGCGCCAGCACTCACAGAGGGTTTGGCACAGCACTTTGATGTACAGGATTCCAGGATGTTGACAGTTGAAGACCAAGGCGCTTTTTAACCTTCACCTTGATGGAACGTGATATTTACTGACTTCAGTTTCTGACTGGATGAAAACCTCTTTTCCTCCCTTCTCATCTGGGCTTACTTGATTTTGTGATTTCTGATGATCAAACTAATATTGTTTATGACCTCTAAAGACCTTCAGGGAGATGCTGTTTTCCCACCACCCAGCCGCCGTGGATGGATTCCAACATGTGCCTGTGAGCTACAAAAGGTAGTGTAAACAACATCTCCCCATTAAACTTCAGTTTAACATTAGGACCACTGTCCAAAGATCATACTTAAAGATAGCTGAAGTGTTACTATATTCCTTTGCGTGGCTCAGTCATGACCCTAATTAATGTGTCTAGGTTAGACATGCAGTTTTTTTAAGTAATGGGTGGTTTTGTTTGGACAATTAGGCAGAGTTGACAAGGAAATTTTCCATCAAACTGGGCCATAAAAAGTACATTATTCAGTATTATGAGTAAAACACTATTTATTACCTGAACTTTACAATACACCATTATCAATCATTACCTGTCATTAAGGTATGTTAACTTAAGTTCAAAGAGACAAAGCCTCTGTTAAACAAACAGCGGTGGCTTTTAGGCTTGCTTATTTAAATCAAAACAAGCATAACTCATTAATTAGCTAGAATTTCCTTTCAACTAAATATGCAAATCAACAAATCACTGCAACCTCATAGCATTTCTTATTCATTTACACAGGTCA